GTTGACTTCTCCCTCCTCCTCCACTTTAAAAAAATATATATTTCCTTTCCCACAGTTCTGTGATACTATAATAAGTTTCTGCTTTCTCTTATCTCACCGGGCTGGTCTTTCCCAGTCTCATTTGCTTGTCCAAAAATGTTGGTTTGCAGCATTCCCAACGTTCTTCCTCTTAAGGAATTTAATGTGACCTAAAGCTTTGAATACCATCTATATTCTGATGAATTCTAAATTTGTATTTTCCGGCCTGACCTCTGTTCTGAAGTCTACACTCATCTGTCAAACTGCCTATCTAATATCTCCTCTTAATTCTGTTCTCCAAACCTCTAACATCTAGACTCCTATATTAAACTATTTGATATTTTCTCTTCATCCCACACACTCATTTCCCACTCTCTCAATTAATGTATAAAAAATACTGAGGGCTCAAGGTGAGAGCCTCAGTGTCACCCTGGATTTCTCATTACCTGTCCGCATCACATCCAATTCATCAGCTAAGTCTACCAGGTACACCCCCCAAAATAGAGGCTTGTATTTTCTGAAAATAATGACAATTTTGTTTCTTTCTTTCCAATTCGTCTATTTTTCTTGTCTTAATGCATTTATAAGGGCCTCTAAGGATCTGCTGAAGGTAGCACTTAAGAGTGAACATTCTTTTCATGTTCTTGAATTTAATGTGAATGCTTCTAAACTTTTACTACTGAGTATAATGCTTGCTGAAACTTTCTGGTAGATATACTATCTGATTTAGGAAGTTTCTACTTTACTATGCTGCAAATATTTGATCATGTTTAATCATGATTGGGTCTTGGATTTTTTAAATTATGTTTTTGGCATGATCATAAAGTTTTTCTCTTGTAATCTGTGAATTCAGTGAATATATTAGATATACTAAAATTGCATCATCCTTGCATTCTTGAGACTTATCTGTTCCCCCAGTCCACACCCTCTGGACTTGGAGCACACCCGTGCCACTCCTGCTCTGTAGCACACTTCGTACTGGGCAGGTTGTTGGTTTTCTTTCACTATGTGATAACATCTCCCTGGGTCTTTTAGGGGGAGCCTGCCTTCTGCCTTTCCAATGCTGTGTTAGAGTTTTAGAAAAGAGCTCCTCTTTCTAGTAGTTTAGGGAGAGGGTTGAAGAGGCTGGAGCCTGTGCTTAGTGTGCCATCTTGAGGACAGACAGGAAAGGATTGGAGTTATTTTGGTTGATGATATTAAAGAGATTTGTGATTCATCCTGACTTAGAGGAATGCCCTTGATCCCAAATTTAATGACGTATAGCAACACTGGGGGAAGTGATAATTCAGAGAAAAGAAGAGCCTTTCCACAATGAATGTTGGCTGAAGTTCAAGTGAGGAAAGAAAAGAAACAGGTGTGGGAAGAAGCAAAGACAGAGACCATATAATGTCCAGGCCTAAGGAATTTAATTAAAAGCTGATTATTTCCCTTGAAAGTTTCCATCATCATCCCCCACAGAAATTTTGCAGAAAACATTCTCATAAGTATTTAATCTTGAATATATAAAAGGGGTAGTGAGGAGACAAATGGAAAGTTCCCTCTGATCCAATCTGACCACCAATATGACCAAAATTTATGGAGCCAGGTATGAAGTAGAAAAAAATACAGAAAAGACTAAAGTCATATGGCAGTTTTTTTCTAGAGTAATGGAAGGAGTTCTTTGAATTTCAATAAATGTTGTAGACCTCTATAGGATATTCAATTGGAAAGGAGTTAGAAATCCTTAATAAGTCTTGTATACCTTATTCAGTCCACAAATACCTATCCATCAAGAATTTTTGATGTTCCAAGCACTGTGCTACATATTGGGAATAAAATTCTGAGAAATATGGACCTCAGCCCTGCCTCCATGAAATGTACAGTCTAGTAAGGGAACAAAACATTAAACAAACTAACTGCAAATGTGATGAGAAGTATTCAATGAAGCATGGGTGGTGTGACTGCAGGTACACAGTGTGCAGAGTCAGGGAACAGCTGGTATAGTGTTTCCTCTAAGAAATAATCTTTAAATTGGGACCTAAAAGAGGAGACAAAGAACCATTAGTCAGCCTTTCCAAGCAGACTCCCATCTTTCCAAAGCTGGAAAAAATCAAATTCTCGTCTATCCTCTTTATCCAAAGGTACCTTTAAAAACATGGTTTATGGTTTCAGAATCATGGAATTCTAGAGGTGGAGTCTTTCATGACCACTGGCTACCTTTACTATCAGAGGAAAACTGGCTTGTGTTATCAGTGTCCTGACTCATGTTGCTGGAGCTCACCCACTATATGTACAGGAAAGAGCTGTGAAACCAGAAAGGTCTATTTCAGGGCAAATCTTTTGTGAGAAAAGACAGGAGTCACACTGTACTAACAGCAAACTGGAGAGGACTTGAGGAAGGGGAAAATATTTTAGTTGGAATTTTCTGATGACAGGTGATAGAAACTCAACTCAAACTGGTAGAAGAGGAAGGAAGAAATTTATTGATTCAGGAAACAAAATTCTGGGAGTTGACATGGAGCTTGAAGCACTGCTAGATCTAGATTCCTGAGCAATAGATTTAGGGAGATAGATCTTTGATTTCTCATCGTTTTCCTTTATATAGGTTTCATTGTCCACAAGGCTCTTTGTGTGAACATAATTGCAAGGCTGCTCCTGGCTTAAATGGCTCATAGAAACCATGATCTCAGGGAAAAAATCATTCTTCCTTCACCAATGACTTTATTAGTCATCAAAAAAGGGACACTGCCTGATTCTACTTAAGTCATGTGAAAATCCACGGTCCAGCCACTAGTCTAGGGGATGGCTTACTCTGGCTGTTCATGGTCTTGTGCCTACTCTTATGATGAGACTGCTGTGGTCCCTTGATTGCCAGCCCATTCCAATCATAGAGAAGGCAGAAGTAACTCTCAGGAGGAAGGTTCATAGAACAGATGAAAAAGGCAGGAAGTCCACTAAAGAAAAGCACATTTATATATTTCTTTTCTCTTTGAGCATATATTGGGCTCTTGTAACTAGAGGAAGGATAGCTACGATCGTATGTTCTTTCAGTTACAGGAGCTGGATCTGGACTCTAATGCTCAGTTTCGAATTCTTGCTCTACAATTTGTTAGTGTTTCACTTTGAAATTTAGGTTTCCTTGTGTGCCAGTAAAGATTATCTATGCATACATGGCTTAGCAGCGCTCCATTCAGCATGGATTTGCAACAACATTGATCCTCCAGCACAGAAGATCCTGACCAAAAAGCAGCCATGTGTCTTGCAAAGCTTTCCTTGGTTTGCATGAAACAAGCCAATATTTCTTTTGTTTGCTTACTTTGGTCTATCTTTCTAACACCAACATCACATTTTCTTGGATAACAGACTTTTAATTGTCAGCAAATTGTTCAATTCTTTCCCCAAGGGAAAACACAGGGTGTTTGGTAGACGATGTAGCAGCTCCTGTCTGGGAATAATTCCATGGGAATAATTCTAAAGAACACTCAGAAGGTGAATATACGAATCAATAACTCCCAAAGCATATGGAATATATGTCCATGAAGTTTAACCTATTATTACATTAGAGCTTTAATTTCCAGGAACACATTCTCCTACTTGGAACAGGGTCTGCCGGCAATAGTGCCTAACTTGTAGGGTGGTTACAATCAGGAAATGACGTAGTCCAGGTAAAGCATTTACCATCCCAGCTGGCACACAGTGAGTTCTCCATCATGCAGGTGTTACTATTCATTTTCAGCAAGTATCTGTTGACTACATACTGTGCTCAAACCACCCAGACAAAAGATATCTGTAAAATATATGAAATAATTTTAGGATTTGGAGAAAGGTGCTCTATAGGGATCCAAAGAAAGACATTCTTGGGGTTAAGTCTTTGGGTGGAGCAACTCTTGTCACCCAATGAAGCAAATGTAAAATGCTAAACAAATCAAGAAACAAATCCCTTTGGTTTAAAAAATAAAACTGGGCAAAAGATCTGAACAGAGATTTCTCCAAAGAAGATATACAGATGGCCAACAGGCATATGAAAAGTTGCTCAATATCATTAACTATCAGGGAAATGCAAATCAAAACTACCATGAGGTATCACCTCACTCCTGTCAGAACGGCTATAATTAACAAGACAGGAAACAACAAACATTGGAGAGGATAGGGAGAGAAGGGAACCCCTGTACACTGCTGGTGGGAGTGCAAACAGGTGCAGCCATTATGGAAAGCAGTATGGAGTATCCTCAGAAAATTAAGAATAGATCTACCATACAATCCAGCTATACCACTGCTGGGTATATTTCCAAAGATCTTGAAAACACAAAGGCATAAAGATACATGCACATCTATGTTCACTGCAGCATTATACACAATAGCCTAGACTTGGAAGCAACCCAGGTGCCCATCCAGGGACTAATGGATAAAGAAGATGTGGTATATATACACAATGGAGTACTACTCAGCCATAAGAAATGATGAAATCCAGCCATTTGAGACAACATGGATGGTCCTTGAGGGTATTATGATGAGTGAAATTAGTCGGAGGGAAAAAGTCAAATACCATATGATCTCACTCATAAGTAGAAGATAAAAATAATGACAAACAAACACATAGCAATGGAGATTGGATTGGTGGTTACCACAAGGGAAGAGGGGAGGATAAAAGGGGTGATTAGGCTCACATGTGAGGGGATGGACTGTAACTAGTTTTTGGGTGGTGAACATGTTGTAATCTACACAGAATTGGAAATATATTACGATGTACAACTGAAAGCTATATAATATTATAATCCAATGTTATTGCAATTAAAATAAATAAATAAAACTAGAGAAAACCTGAGTTACACATATTACCAATTTTGAAAATGACTGTTCAATTTAATCTCCACTTTTCAAAAGTATTAGGATATTCTGAATAAGATTGAGAAAAAAATAAAGTTGAAATTTGGGTTGATTAAGTAAGGATTAGACCTGTTGAACCCAGTGATTTGTTTCACAGTGAACGTTTCTACAATTCTTCACTCCTTTCTGTAAAGTGTATATGATTTCATGGGATTTTCCTGCCACTCAGGCAGACAGGCCAGGCTATCAGCCACTTCCTTCTGGACAGGCCAGCCCCAGGCCTCAAAGAAAGGAATCAGATTCTTCTGCACCTTTTCAGAGAATTTCTTCACCCATAAATTCATCTTGCCACTGTTGTCTTTGGGGATGCCAGACAGGGTCTGGTACTCAGCAAAGAGCTGCATGAATGGCTCCCACCCAAAGACCTCTTGGAGCTTGAGAGGGAAAGTAGGGACAGAATGAGGTATTTAGTCTACAAAATCCACCCATTCACACACACAATAAATTGCTTGCTAATGTTTAGTTATAAGGCACTTTTTAACACATTTAATTCTCATCAGTGGTTCTCTCCTTCTCCATTCCCTTATAATCTTCATTCCAGTGACTGGTGTCATACCTTACTCTGCCTCACTCTAGTCTCAGAGATGGAATCTATGCTTACACATTATTTGGTCCATAATAGGTTCTCAAGAAATGGTATTTACTTTGGTATTATTATTTCTCTCACTCCTAAGCTTAGTGGTAGATAAAGATTTCAATCTGATCTAGTGAGGATATCCTCTCATCTCAAAAGTGGAAGCCTACCATTTGAAAATACCCACACCATCCAGATGTAATGAAATTTTTATTCTTTGTTGAAGATTTGACTCCTAGTAATTCTGCCAAATTGCCTTCTGGAGACGGGCAGATATGTAAGAAGAATGCATTCTTTGTGGGTAGAGCTAGGAGAGACTCAGACAGTAGGGAGAGATGGGTGCTCAGAGGCAGGTCCTGGAAGGCCCCTCCAATGGATCATCAGGATTGTAGAACTTTAGAGCTACAAAGGACATACTCCTGGTTCATCACGTAAGAATCTATGACCCTGGAGGATCACAGCCTTGAAGACAAGTTGAAGTAGAATGTCTCAGCCAGCACCACTGTCATTCTTTCATCATTGCTCAGCTGCGATATCATGTATCCATTAGATCATTAGGAGATATCTAATAGTAATTATAATCAACCATTTATTGAACATCTACAGTGTACCAGGAGCTGTGCTGAACACTAGGGTCACAAAGATGAAAAAGGAGAAAACTCTCCTATACTGGCCTCCGATAAGAGAGACAAGTGCTTAAGCAAATAACTGACAACGTCGTGTCATTAGAACACAAAAAGTAATGCAGGAGAGCAAGTAAATAATGTCTCAAAGGAATGTATTCAGGGAAGGTTTCCTGGAAAGGGTGACAAATGAGTTGATTTTGAAAGATGAACAGGAGTTTTCCTGGTATATAAAGAAGACAAAACCATTTTAGGGAGACAGAGCAGTGTTTGTAAATGCACAGAAACATGGAATACAGTGATGTGTTCTGAAAACTATAAACAGTTTGGATTTGCTGGCGAATGAGTAAGAGGGTGTGAGCCTGGAACTCAAGGCAGGAAGATAAGGCAGAGCCAGATAATGAAGAATTTGGCGTTCTACCTGAAGGCAATAGGGAGTCATTAAAGGGTTTTTAGCTGAAATGTGCAGTTTATTCAGCAGTGCAGACGTAAGTCTGTTGGGATTGTAGCTAGAAGTAGAGAGACTAGTGAAGAGGCTGCTGGAATAGTTCAGATGAGAGATGCTTGGGCCTTGGGTTTTGACCATAGTGGTGGGAATGAAAGGTGGGGAGTCAGGGAGTGGCTGCCTGGCCTGGACTTGAGTCTCAGACCCCAGAGCCACAGAAGTCTAGGAGGAGAGCAGTGAAGGGAGTCTGCCCCCAGAGGCTTTGAAGTGAATTTGTATGTCAAGCTTCTGGCTAAGACTATGACTCTTTCATGCAGATGGGCAAACAGATTAGTTACTATTAAGGACAATGGTATAATCCAAAGCTATTTTGCTGCCTGAAGTAATCTCACACTCTTTGGAATTATGGAGACTGAAAATCCAGAGACAGAGTGCTGTAGTGCCCAGAATGGGCAACTGGAGTCAGGACACCGAACTTGAGTTCTAGGTCTGTCCCTTCCTATTAATTATAAGGTCAATGGCAAACTGCTTATGCTCTTTAAACTTCAGTTTCTGCCCCTGTAAAATGAAGATCACGACAAGACTTCTGCAGTGTATTTCATGCAGCTGGCAAGGATAAGATGAGAAAAATGGGAGAGGTTTTTGAAAAGCTACAAAACACTGCACATGTGGTATTCTTTTATAATGAAACCAGAAGTCTTCCACATTAGGGGTTTGAGGAGGAAGATACCGTCTTGAGAAACTTGCTACCAGGTCACTCTCCCCAAAATATATCCCTGTAATGCATTGATAAAGTGAAGTAATGTCATCGTCTTTTGAGCTATAAAGATGACTCAGAAGAAACAATTGGATCTTGTATTTGACAAAGCTGAGGTTCTGCTTCAAGGTTGTCTGGCCAGAGCTGTGTTATAATTACTTTTCGCAATGACTCCACCCACTTTCATTTATTTCCCAAAAATTCTGAGGCCGAGGATTGGAGTGAGACTTGTATCGTTACCCACTGTAGACGTGTAAAACCTGAGCCACAGAGAGAAACCACCAGTCCACCAGGTCCAGGGGAAATCATGGGCCCATGGCTGGTGCGGGTGAGGAAGGAATTGTAGGGCTCCTGGGGTCACAGCTGTGGGTCCCTACCTCCCTCCATTTCTGCTCAATACCTGAGGATATGTTTCCAGAGCCATCCACATCTTCCAGGCATTCAGGGGGGTTCCCTTGTCCATGTGCATTTTGATCCTCTGCTCCCGATTTTGAGGTCCCAGAGCAGAGTGGGCCTGAGCCCTGGGAATTAGTTCAGGACCATCTCATTCACGTAGGCTGGCCAGAGGTTGCACATGGCCTCAGTGGTATGGGGATGGATAGTCCATCCGGATAGCTGCTGGTTGTGGCCCAGCTCGTGGAAGGGAGCTTAAATGCCTTTGGACCTTATGATCCCCTCATCAAGGAACTCAGGCACTGGCTGCACATGGCATGTGGTGGGGTACCCAGAAGGCATCCAACCTGAAGAAAGCGATAAGGAAGAAGAGACGAGGTGATGTATGATATTCTTTGCAGATCATATCTCCCCCACGATCCCAGAAGACCCAGAACATTTTGAGTAATCCCAGATTAAACAGAAAAGCATCTGACTTTACCTCCCTGTCCAAGTTTCTTTGCAACCTAGCTGGCATCCTTCCCAGTTTCTTAGAGTTTTACATTCTCCTCCCTACTTGACCTGAAAGTTACATGTATATGGAATGTGACTATTCATGTCATCAGTCTTTTTTTATTTTTTCATTTTTGTGTGGGTGACTGTTGGCACCTGTTTTTATGTGGGTGGTGTGCAGTGTCTGGATTTGGGACTCTGAGAGAAAACAGTATGTTTCTCCCTTCTAGAAATTAGTCTTAATCCATTTTGTGGAATCATTTTGAGAGCCTGAGGATGGCAATCAGGCTTCCTCATTTTTCTATAAATACCTACATTTTCTCCAGGTTTCTCAAGACTCAACAAGGCCTCCTTTACTCTGCTCTAAGTACCGTCCTCTGCTTCTTTTCATTGCCAGCTCTGTCTCCACTCATTTCTTACATGTTTCATGAAGCCATATGTGACTTATTTTTTCTCCATTCTTACTAGCCTGTGACTCCTTGTCTTGAAGATTTAAATAATTTATCTTTTTCACGAGAACGTGGTTTGCAGGACACTAAGTGTTATGCATCATTTCCTCTACTGATCCCAGCAAAATTTTGCTTTGTAATTTAAATTACATTTGTTCAATTGGAAAATAAATTTTCAGAGAATTCCCCCAGAGCACCCACCAGCTGAGATCTTTACGTCAGCAGCTATCCTTTCAGGATGAAGAAGAGGAAATTGTCTAGCTCCCAGCTTGGCTAGAGCCTGCATCATCTCATCCCAGAGGCAGAGTAAAGGTTCTGGGTCCTCCACAGCCCAGAGGTTTGCAGTTGGCACTGTCAAGATGATGTTCTCTGTTGCCAACTCTCCCAGGTTGCCAGGTCTCCTGGATACAGCCTCTCCACTCCTCCAGGGATGTCTTACCTAAGAAATAAGTCTGCCCACATCACTTTTCCTGGTTTTATATTACAGAACTTTGACCACAGAGAGAGACAACCTGGTAATTAATAAAGTCTTTCCTTGCCATAAAAGGAAACACAAACCCCTGTCCCTTTCCCCATCCCTCTCTCAGGTCTCCAAGGATCATGTGTCCATATTGTCCAGCCCACTTTCTGCCCTCAAGACTCACTCCCCTTTTTTCCATCACTCAGGCCCCTGTTCTCTCTTACAGCCAGCCCACTCTCCACCTCCAGACTCGCCTCTATTCTGGGACCTAAGCTGAATCCAAATCCCCCGCTCACCCAGCTTGAAGTATGGAGCAGACACAGCTCCACTGATGGTTACAGGCACAGAGCCCAGTTTAAAACCGCTGGGCACAATGATGTAGAGGAGGCCCCCCCCCCCAGAGCCAGGAGATGGACATCTTTGTTGTTTCCCAGCTGCACTGGTGCATCATCACAGGGTACCGGTAGTAAGTCTCTGCTAGACTTAGGTTATTGGAGCAGCAGTTGATCAGTACCTGTCAGAGTAAGCATCCATCAGGGGAGACAAGGGAGTCATTATGGGGATGTTTGAATAGCTGTGTGTGTGGGTTTGAGTGCAGACAGGATTCCGACCTGCCTTGTCCTGAGCAGGAGTGAGAAGAGGAGCATGCCTGAGTGGTAGGTCTCACCTGGATAAGGGCAGGATGGCTTCTATTTAGCCTCTTTCTTCAGGGCACCCCTTTCTGGTCATAATGATTCTTTGCTCTCTATGGAGTTTGGGGATTTTTTTTCTTTTGTTTAAGCAAATCCAGCCCCATGTTAAATACTGACTCAGAGAAGACAGTGACTCTCTCTGGTATTTCCTGTGGGTCTCAGCTAGGAGAGGGCAGGATCTGCACCCATGTAAGTGTCTATGGAAGTGATCCCTTTATTTAGGATGGGGCTGGAGCTTGGACAGCCCATAAGGTTTGAGATGTTAGGGGAAAGAATAAAGGTCAGAAAGTGTTTGATACCGGGCAAAAGAGGAGGAGGAGATAAAGAACCTTTTGTGATTCCTTGTTCTCACCAGAACCTTGGGCTTTTCCATGATGGCTTTCCTCGTTTGTAAAGTGAGGGTGGTACCTGCCCTGTACGCCCGGTGGGGTTGTTGAGAGAATCTAAAACATTACTGAGAGAAGAAGTAAAAGTGCTAAGGAAGTGTCAGAAGTTCACTTCGTGTGGAGGTGGGCTCAGAATGCTCTACCTTCAAGTCAGCAGAGACAGCATCATCAGACAGCGTAACTTCCGCAATTTGTCCTTGAGGTAAGTAGAGTCCAGTACCCACCCAGGAACTACTGTTGTCGGAGAAGAACTGTGGAGAAGGTTGAGGTCTTCCCATCACCATGGCTCCAGCTTCACACAGGATCCCCACAGTCCCTCCCAAAGATTTTGCACCTCCTGCGCACACCTGAACTCGCCTATGCTGCCATGACTCATGTGTCCCATATCTCACTTAGAATCCCTAAACCCTACCTTCTTAAAGGTTCATGGAAAGAATGGAGGTGGCCTTCCTGAGGGGGAAGGTCCTTTGAATGCTGCTGAAGTCACCCAGTCCACCATCTCCCTATTCCTGCACCATCCTAACCCCTCTCTTCATTCCATACCTGAACTGATCTCAATGGTGATGGGAGATTCTGTGGGACATAGAAAGGACAGAGTCTGATCACAGAGCAACAGAAAGCAGTCAGTTCCCAATTTGGCCAGGTCTCTGGCCAAGGATATCGGGACGGCCTCAGAGCTGCCCCTAGTAATTGGGTTTTCCTTATTCACGAGTGGTAAGCCCTTTTGTCGGATCATTTCCGGGATGGTTTTGTGCACAGACTCATAGATGGGAATTCCCTTATATGGGATTTGAAACATGTAGGCACAGTCTTTCATTAGCCTTTCTAGCCAGCTCTGGTCTATGCCTCTTCTTTCATTGCACAGCATGGACTTGAATTGAGAGAGAGCTCTGCGGATGCGGTAGGTTATCACCCCGGGATTGTGGACTGGGAAGCAACCTGTACTGCTTTGCTGATCTGAGATGCCAAGGCCAAAGCGTGTAAGGAGCTTGTTCTTCGGACACTAAGACATACAGTTAGAATTTTGGTGTTTGTAGCCCTGCCACCAGGCCTGGCCACCAATCTGCAACCCTCCGCCTTCTGCAATAAATTCCTCCACCTTCTTGACATCCATGTTGCCGAGTGATTCACAGCAAAAGACACTCAAGTCACTGGTCAGAAGGTCTGCCCTTCTCCACTCCAGGTTATTTTTTGATAACATAGTGCCCAGTGCTTGCATTTTTTAGCTCAATCCAATTATCTCTTTCTGGTTCCTCACTAGCCAGTGCAGAGCATTGACTACAAATGGGCCCATCCTGTGATCAAGGATCAAACTCTTATGGCCACCAAGCACCACACGACCACAGCCATAATGGGCAGCTGCAAGAAAGCAGCCTAATGAGCTGTCTAGTCCCAGGGGAAAGGCCAGGGCTCCATGAACCAGCAGTTGGGTGTGTTTTCTCTCTCCACTGATGTCCAGCTCTGAGATCCCTTCCGGGAGCTGCTGCTGATCCTGACTGTGGGCCTCCCCACACCTGGAGAAGGGGCATTTCCCACCCTCCCCCCCATTAGCACCTGCAAGACAGGTGAGCGTAAAAATAGGTCAGAAGATAACACCCAAGACCTGAGGCCTTTGGGAACAAAACCTTTAAGAGGAAAGAGAGGGGACTGCTATTTTAATCTTGCGGTCTTCAAATCAGTTTTGATTATGAGTAATTAGCATCATAAAACTGTGAGATTCTACTTTAAAGACTTAATATATCTTGAAATAAAAATATAAATTCTCCCAGTGAAATTTTCCAGCATGAACTGCTGTCTCAGTCAACAATCCATTGACTATTCTGAATTATACATTGTTTATTTGAATAAAAATAGTTTAGAAAACAGCCTATCATTCCCATAGAGAGAAGACCTGCTTATAAATTTGGAAGGCTTATATTCTACAAAATGTGCTCACATACACATGCATAAATAAAAAAGGCCGTGAAATTCCCCAAATTCTCAAATTATCTTTATCAGAGCTCTAGGCTGTCTTTTGTTCTGCTTACTTTTTGTAGTTTTTAAATAAAACCTCTGGAATTATTACATAGAGGAAAACATTTATTCCATCATTTTTTATCAATTAAATCAGGTAAGAAAACATCACCATTTTTTTAAACTAGCAGATAAAATATTTCAATGTTGTATTAAATTGTATTCTACTTAGCTGTCCAAAACTTGGAGGTTGAGTAAATAGATTTTGGCATAGGTATAGTTACGATAAAAGGCAGCAATTAAAAATGAGTGAAAAAACTGAACTTACAAAAACAGTGTGTACAGGAAGATCCAAAATAATATTGAAAATATTATTGAAAGTACAGAAAAATTACTAGAAGGCTATATATTAGAATGTTATTGCAGTTAGCTCTAGGTAGGATCACTTTGGATGATTTTTGTTTCCTTTTATACTTTTTCGCATGTTCTGAATTTATCTTCATAATCAGAAAAAAATAATTTCTATATATTTTTAAATGTTCATTTACTGATTTTATCAAATACTGTGAAATAACTGCTGTAAGTTATTTCTTAATTCATTTTCCACATAAAATTGAGAAAATACTTCGACAGTTTTTTGTCTTGTTCTCAAATCAACATGTAGCATTTTAGTTAAAGTATTCATTCTGCCTATAGATTTCTCTATCTGTGCAGACGTTTCACAACTGATTTTCAGGTTGGTGTCTTTGAAATAGAAAACTTACAAAAACTCCTTATAGTTGAGATTTTCTGTGAGTAAACACACATTACTACTGATACTATGAAAAAACAGATCAAGTGACATTATCAAGAGGAAGGGGTGTTGTAGTTAACAAAATATTAAGTCTAAATGATGCTCAAACCAAACTATCCCTTTCATTTCAACTCTTGATTTTTCGGGAGAGGGAGAGGCTTCCAAAATAGATAATATAGCTCAATGGTTAGGAGTTCTGACTCTGACTCTGAACAAATGTGGAGCAGAGCACTAATAAATTAGAGGTCAACTTTCTCATTCCTATTGATGTCAAGAAAGCTTTTGATAAAATTTATTCCTGATTTTAAAAAATAAAACAAAATTAAAAACTAAGTTGTAAGTTGAGGAAAACTTGCTTGTCTGAATAAAATGTAGCCATTAGAATATGCAACATCAAAACATTAGAAGCACTTCTGTTAAACCAGGAAAAAAAAAACCAAGGTTTCCCTCTATTACTGCTGCTATTCATAATTTTAAGGGATGTCCTAGCTAATGAATGAAAGAAAGAAATATTATAATGAAATGAGTAAAAAATTCCATTATTTGCTACTAGATTCCATCTACCAGAAGATTTAGGAGAATCAACTGACAAACTATTATAACTAATGAAAGAGTGTTTGAATTCAATATAGACACAAAACTCAATAATTAAATCAGGAACAGATAATTATACAATGGATAATTTCATAATTCATAATGGCCAAAAAAATATAAAAGTACCAAGAATAATCCTACTACTAAGAAATGTGAAAAGACTTTCTAGTGAAATCTATAAAACTTGACAAAGAATATACAGGAACACCTGAATGACTGAAGAGACATACTTTGATGCTAGATGAATAGTTCCAATTTTTCAAGATGTTAATTATCCCTAAATAATCTCTAAATTGAGTCTAATCTTGCCCAAAGTCTCAATATATTTTAAAGGAACTTGATAAATTGGTTCTATAGTTTAATTTGCAAGAATAAATGTCCAAAAGCAAACAGGAAATTTTTGAAATTGCTGAGCAATGTAATATGGGGATATGGAGAAGAGTTTGTTTACCTAGATGTCAAAATTCACTTCAGAGCTGGAGTAACAAAAGCAATATGGTTGGTGCAGAGTCAGACAAATAGGTCAGAGGTCCAGGGGAGATAGCTGAAGAACAGATTCATACTCATATGGAAGCATATTATACAAAAAAGTAACCTTTAAAATCAGTGAACAAAATCCTGACTTTTCAACAAATTGTACTGTCAGAATTGGCCATATGTTGAGAAAAAATATGTATGATATAATACAAAAAAATCTATATGGATTAAAGATCTAAATGTAAAATATAAAACCATAAAAGTACTAGAAGAAAATAGAGGGAGGTATTTTCACACATTTATAATGGGAAAAGACTTTTTAACAATAAAAGGTGCTATGAAGGAAAAAGACTGATAGATGTGACCACATACAAATATAAAACATGCATATAACTCCCAAAACAAATTAAAAAACAAATGGTAGAAAGAAGTATTTGCAGCATGTAACATAGACAAAAACTTACCATGTGTACTATAGAAAAAAACACTTAGTAATCAATAAGACAAAGACAAAAACCAAATAGAAAAAAATAAAAGTTGTGAACAGACAATTCAAAGAAGAAATACAAATGACCATAAACATAAAAAGAATCCTCTCCATTTGTAATCAGAGAAATACAAATTAAAATAAGAACATTTGTCACATTCCATACTGGTAAGAATGTCAAACAAAAATTAATAACACCCAGTAGTAGCGATCGTCTGGGACACTATTTTTGTTATATGTGTAAATTGATATAGCCTTTTAAAATGGCAATTTGTCAGTTTCTATTAACATCTCAAATACAAATATTTTTTAATTAGCTATTCACCTTTTTTGGACTGTATACCAAAAAACACTTGCAGTTGTATACAATGACATATAAGGATATTCATCTTGAAACTTTGAATAATAGCAGATATTAGATCCCATCAATATTTCCATGGGTATATAAGTTACACTATGGCCACCACATGGAATACTATTCATCTGTGCCAAAGAATGAGGTAGATTTATATATCCAGGGGATGTAGGCAACTGAGGAAGAACTTTGACCTATCTACTTCTTGGGATTCAAATCATAGGACCATTATAGCTCGTTCGAGTCAACCTTATGATTATGAGAAACCACATCACTTGTTCAATTTCTAAAAGATAGAAAGAATCCTACTCCACTGTAGAAGGAGGTGTCACAGGGCTGCCCCTGGTTTCATAACCACGCTGCTACTCTACTTTCATCAACTCAGAGATAATTGCATTGCCCCATTCCACTCCTGGGGAAAGAAGTATCTTAATGCAAGGATTAGACTGTGACATGTTCTCCCTGCTGTCCCTGAAGTACATTGACCCTCAATTTCATTCATTCCTTCATTCAATGTTTATTTAGTACCTACTATATGCCAGGTAGGGTACTATGTGCTAGTGATATAACTCAAACAGGCATGATTCTTCTCTCTCTTGAACTTTATAGATGTTTTCTCTACTTACAGCCATCTCTTTCTAACTGGTCAAAATTCGGGGGCACAATAGTAAATAAAACAGAAAAACATCCTGGCTTCAAGACATTTAATACCCAGTCCATAGGAGAGAACAGAGAGGATTGTTGGTGTCGCAATCCAATGTACACATCAGGATAGATGCTAAGAGGGCTGATGGCCACTCTGAGTTTATTATAACCAGCGTTTCAATATATACATAACTTACATCTGTTAAACATACACAGGTGTTCTGGATGAAGTAATTAGCGAATGCCAAGAATTCTTAGTGATTTCTCAAGGAGCCCTCCCTCGGCCTCTGTTTTGATATTATCATGTTATTGCTGTGCTTGTATATTTTTATCTCGGAGCAGGCAAGTTCTCCAAGGCAACAGCTCCTCGTGCTCCCAATATCAATATCGTGTCTCCATCTGTGCCCCCAGGCGACTGTGCCTGTCTTAGGTTGCCCCGCCCTGGGGGGTCTTACCCTTCATTGGCTGACTGGCCTTCTCACCTCTGGGTCACAGTTTGTTGGCAAGCCTTTTCCGGTGATTATTAACCCTTCCTGCGTCAGGGGCGGCTACAAGGATATTGTCCCTTATCCACCAAAGGTCATTTGTATAGTTACACTAGTAATTTGCAATGATTCTCTTCCATACCAACAAATTTCTCCTCTGCTAGACTGAAAAAAGGGGGAAATGGGGCTGCTATTTAACACAGATCAGACTCCACATAGGGACACTTACCTCATGTGGAGTGGGATCTTGGGCACGTTCTCAGAGACCTTGAACTGGCCTCTTTCTCCACAGGTGTTGGTGAAGTACACTCCAGCCACGCTGGTCACCTGGTTCCCGGGGAACCTGGACAACACCTTGTCACGGCCGTGCTGACTGGCCCAATACCAGGCCTGGCCCCCAGTGAGCAAGCCCCCTCCACGTTTCACAAACTGGGTCAGCTCTGGAGTCATGCTGTCATTGTAGGCACTGATGCAGTAAACCCCCAGGGCATCTCCCAGTTCTGGCTGACTCTGTGCCTCAACCCCAGAGCCCTGCAGGATGTTTACTAGTGATGCCAAGGACGGTTCACTCCAATGGGAGCCCCAGGGGAGGGAAAGAGCCAGCCTACTGCATTAAGAAGAAATGGGGCCAAGCCAGCATCCAGCAGGTAGCCCTCACGGGACACAACCACGAGGCGGCCTTGGCCATAGGAGGAGGGAACAATGAGGACCTGGCCCTTGACAGTCACCATCACTGGGAAGGCAGCCTCTCCAGTAAGAAGGAGTTCACTGGGGATGGGGCCTTTGGGGACATCCCAGCTTGTTACTCCATCCATGAGGGCCTTGAAAGCAGCAGTGGGAGTTGTCCCCATAGTTCTATTAGCTGCTGCAGAGGAAAGCAAAGATTCAGTATAGTAAATGAATGAACAAAAAAAGAAATCTATAGTTCCATCTGTGCAAATGTTAGCACAGTCAAAAAAGGAAAATAAAATCTTAGTATTATTATGAAAAATAGAAAAAGATAAAGGCAACAGTTACCTTCTTTCTCATAGTGTCCTGTTCAACAGAACCTATAGCTGTACTCAGGTACTTTCAAGTAGCTACCTCTCTGTTGATTTCCCAGGCTCTACAACTCTTCATATATATGATTTCTAAGGAGCTCCGCTCTCTCAATTTATTTTCATTACCCAGACATTTCTAAGGAGCTTCACTCTCTTGATTTATTTTCATTAGTCAGACATTATCTATCCCTCCTTATCTCCCAGATGTTCTCTTGGCTCTGTCCCCTGCTGGCCCAGTCTCCTCTCTTCCAGGCCCATTTTGCCCATCAGAAATTACGTTTACAGTAATTCTTCATTATGACAGCTATAAATGATCCCTATCGTTTATCCTTGGCCTGCATTTCTGTAATGAACATAAATCTTTATTTTTAATCAGCATATGGAACATTACAGTCATCTCCCCAAAGTCTGTATACAGGAAATTTAATTCATCTCTATCTTCTCAACAGTTACCTTTAGATCAAATGCGTAAGATTGTCTCTCCCATCTGCATAGGGAAGATAATATGGACCTTGAGGGGTTTTGATCTGAAGATCGATGTCAATGGTTTGCTGAGAGCCTGGCACATTATGCAACTAACAGTAAATTTCTGTGATTTTATCACTCTTTCTGGCTTCTGAAAATGATGGGAGACACCGCAGCCTCAATCATGATCACCTTCTTCCTCCCTCCTCCTTGACCATCCAGTTAGTCACCAAGCTTTGTCAAGTGTCTATCACTTTGGTCTCCATTCATATTGCCACTAACCTGCTTCAGGTTCTTAGTACTTCAGGCTTTGGTCAAACTGATCTGGAATCTTTGATTCTCATCCACTCCCGTGATAAGAAATTCTCAAGTCTTCACCACAGGTAAACTATGATCGCTTCTTTCAAACTGGTAGAGAAGGCTGCCGGAATCTCGCCTCCTCATGTTTTTTCAGCTTTATCTTCCACTACTTTCCCCAATAAAGACTCTGGTGCACATGGAAAATGTGAACATGGCCTGTGATTTCTAGTCTCTGTCCTGTAGAATCTCATTCCCTCCCTCCTTTCCCTTCTCTTTCGCCAACACTCATTATAAGAATTTAAATTACCGGAAGAAGGCAAGTGAAAAAGTTTCTGTATTTTTTCTGAGAATAAAGGCTTTTTCACAGAAGGCACTTGCCAGGGGGTCTTTAGACCCATGAGACATGGTTTGGTCCATTTTGAAGGCTGGATACGAGCAAGGGCATGGTTGAGGAGCAGGCTCTGCTGACTGCCCAGCCTGACTAAATGCCACCCTTCCCCCAGCTTCTTCCAAGTACTGAGACTGGTGAAGCGAGTTGCGGAGGAAAATTTTGATCATTTTGAGAAGCCAGTAAGTTTGGCAAAGTGTTTCAGTTTCAACACTAGCCTGGAATCTGTGAGTGACAGTAGGTGATTGCTTTTCAAAGTTAAAAGATCTGGTTGCTCCTTTGCAAGTTTAAGGAAAACCAGGAGTTTTCCATGGGATCCTTGAGTGCCTGGCATCTAGATTAGTGAATACCCTGCCCAAGCGATGCATCCTTTGATGCGTTACCAATGAGGCAGCCAGAGGCATGTGCAAAGATACTTTTATTTGGATGAGGTAATCAATTTTTTTGCCTAACAAATCCTGGAAGAGTTCAGCCTCAAAAAGAAATATTTCAGAGACAATAGTTAAGTCTTTAGACAGCTTGAGAATAAGCTGAGTTGTGCTTGGCTGGAGGAGGTCTTGGGAAAACAGAGAGGTACAGAGTAAAAGAGACATTGTGATTTCATCAGAGATTTTAGGTAAAATTGGCATCTACTTCCCTTTCATCCCAGAAGACCAGGATCCAGAAAGGGAGAGAGAAAGATGCTATATCACCAATCTGGTGATGGATACCAGGTGGGGACAGGACCACTACTCCTGGTCCTATCCTCCCACTCAATATACTAGCCTGAGCTCATGAGATTAGGGGAGCAGGGGCAAGGACTCTCAACATGAACGGGCACGACTGGAGATTCAGGTTGGAGGAACAGCATATATTCCTGTTCAAAAGTAAATCATAATGTGAGTGTCTTAAAGCCAAGTAGAAGATTTTGTTACAAAGCCAAAAAATGATATTGTCTACAGACAGCCCCCATCCCGGGTATTTTCTGAAAGTTTGAGGTCACCAGTGGTTGGGGGAGGGAGAGACATGAGTGACTTTAAAAGAGGGTGGATGATGGAAGCAGTGAGACTGAAGAGGGAGATGACCTGAGACTGAGAAGATAAAGGGGCTCTGTGGGTCCCATGGGAATAGGAGCCTGTGGACAGCCTTTGGGAAGGACCTCCAGGGAGGTGGAAGGATCTGGGGCCAGGGGGTTCAGGGGACAAGAGAGGAAGGGTTTGGGTGCTATGTCTAGAGAAAATGGACACATTCACTGGGGATCCCAGTCTCTGTGAAGATGTCTTAGCTCAATGAAGCCCCAGAACCACTGCAGAGACCATGGAGTTTTAAAGAGTGTACATCTCAGCTGTGGCCATTGCAGACCAAGGACCAGAGGTGCCTTCCTGAATGTTTTTGCTTAAGTACTGAGCTAGAATTGAGAGATCCCCAGTGCTTAACAGACAGTGAATTTCCTACTAGTCTAGGAGAAAGTAGGCTTGGAGTAGAATCTAATTTGATTAAAAGAAGATACAGTATCTGACATTTCTTCTCCTTTTGAGATTGCAGAGTAAGGATCATGTGAACAAGAACAGATTGTGACCTGCCACTACCTGCGTGACACTCTGAACCAGATGAAGAATGTTAGAGCCTAAAGCACTGGCTGGATGGTGGTGCGGCCTTTGCACACTCCACATGTAATAAAAAACCAAACCACACACTAAAATATAAAAGAAAAGCAAACAAAACTCTGATTTTCCCTTGGGTGACCACTTCAAATGTTTTTCCCAAATTAAATGTGACAATTCTTTCACATTTGCAACATTTTTTGTTTTTCGATGCCTCTTCTTTGCGGCTGCCACAGCCCACCCACTGGATCCCACAGTGCTGGCGACAGAGAGCATGTCCTTTCACCTCTCCAGCCATAGTTGCTCACCCACAGTGTAACATGGCAGGGTCTCTAAATCCTTGTCAGCCCTGATGCTCTGCCTGCCTATGGCAGCCAAACAGAAAATTGGACTCTTGTCTGCTAAGACCCAAGAAGGATAAATATGGCATGAACAAAAGAAGGAGAATCAGGGCACAAAGAAAATCAGAAACAGAAAACAGACCAAGAGCAAGGAAACTCCTCTCATGAGCTTTGGACACCTGGGGGCTCCAGTTCAAACCCACACATTTGCGTCTTTCACTTATACAAAAGTCCAATAGCTCCCCTCCTCTCAGTGGTACCACAAGCCCTAGGCACACAACGTCCAGGTCCAATACACAGGAAAGAACCTCAGTAACCCCTCCCTCCCCACGTGCCTGCATAGCGGGAACATTCACATTGCAGAGACCGTCAGAGAAGCTCACCTGGTCATTTTGCGACTGTAGCTCAGGCCTAGCGTGAAGGAGAAGAGTCGTCTGTGTAGAAGTGATGAGTGGATAGTCTGGAGATGCTATATATAGGGAAGAAGGTGTGATTATCTTCCAGAATATCTTTCTTCCTGCTTCCTTTTGGGAGAGTGGTGCTTGGCTGGGCACCTTCACTGAATACCTGAGTGACATTTAAGTGGTTCTCCTTGCCAGTCTCTGGGTCACTTCTCTCTGGGTCTGGGTTTGTAAAGGCAACTGAAATAATGTAGGCGCTGAGATTGTCCTAGCCTCTTCAAAGTGCCCTCTAGATGTCACCATCATGCTCTGTATGATAATAGTTCCCTGTGGTAAGCAAGGAGGGCTCTGCAAAGCTTCTGTACTGGTTATAAGAAACATGGACCAAAAAATGACAGGACGTGGAGGCAGGCTGAGGAAAGATTTTAACAAAATGAGTGAAAGCAATGAGGCCAGCAACCGTTCTGGGAGTGTCCCGTTAGAGAGTTTCCTTGAAGGAGGCTCATTCTTGAGTTTTCAAGAATTTTATTTTTTTATTATTTGCTCTTTGGACCCTGGTTAGGAAATTGGAATGGCACTACTGACCAGACGGGGCCAGACTAGACATTCTGCGTTGGGCGACTGCCCTCTAGTGAGAGGCAAAGGCAATGCACTCTGGTGCTTGGCATGGTCAATCCCTGCTGAGAAGCCTCGCAGGCCACCTGGGATCAGCGTTGATGACTTGGGAAGAGCCACAGTGCTGAAAGCCCATTCACCAGGGGCTCATCTTTGAACCTCCATTCACTGGAAGCTAGGGTGCCTCATCACTAATTTGCTGAATTTATTTGTTCCTTTTTGCTATTTGTATAGGGTGGAGCATTTCATGCCAAATGAGGGTGGGTTTTAATAGATCATGAAGAAGCCTGTCTTGTTTAAGTTTTACCTAGTTTTGGGGCCGGCCAGGTGGCACAGAGGTTAAGTGCACATGTTCTGCTTCGGCGGCCATGAGTTCACTGGTTTGGATCCAGGTGTAGACATGGCACCGCTTGGCATGCCATGCTGTGGTAGGCGTCCCACATATAAAGTAGAGGAAGATGGGCATGGATGTTAGCTCAGGGCCAGTCTTCCTCAGCGAAAAGAAGAGGATTGACAGCAGTTAGCTCAGGGCTAATCTTCCTCAAAAAAAAAGTTTGGGCTAGTTTTTATTTTATTTTATGACTGCGTCTGAAAGAATTTTTAATTCTCCTTTTTGCCAAAGTCTTGCTACTGTAGCCGGAGGGAGACGGGACAGAGAGAATGAACTCTCTGCTTGGCAAAAGATGGAGAGCAAAGTGACCACTGAGACATGTATGTCCTTAACAGTTAATATAAGAAAAAAGAATGAACACAAACTGAACTAAGCATCATCCTAGGAAGTTAGAAAATCACACTAAAATAATGCCTCCTCCAAGAAGCAGGAGAAAAGAAAAAATAAAACTGAGAGTAGATATCATTTAAGTAGAAGCAAAGAAGAAATAAACTCAAAGTTGGTTTTTTGAAAA